TCTGCGGGTCCGAGCCTTGCGCCCGCCCCCGAGTGTGGGTGATTCACCGCGAGCGGCGCGGGGCTTCTCCAAGCGCTGGGGGCTGCGAGCTAAACTTATCCTCCTACATATGCATGAACGGGTGGCCTTTCAGCTCGGCAGAGGAGAGGCCTGCAGCTTTGCGGAGGGCTGCTAAGTGGAGCGAGAGCAAAGTAGGGCGTCGTGCAAGTGTTCGTGCTGGCCGGCGTCCTCCTCCCTCGCCAGCCCCTGGGTGTTAACTGTTGTTATGGCCATGGGTGTAGCACCAGATAGGGCTTTACCTGATTGTATTTCAAATCCAGGAACTCTGCCATTGTTGGAAGTCCGATCCCTTCAGCTCGCCTCCCCAAACTGCCTTCTCCTAATTCCCTGGTTTACACCAAAATGAACACTGCCAAATTTGCCCTGTGGGCCTAGGCGGGGTCGCTGTAGCCGAAGGGCCTGATTCCAGAAAGAAGTCTGGAACCAGCCCAGAGGAAGGTCTGACACGTGATCCCCTACCCCCAGCGAGCCATCTGTTCTCTTTCCTTCCGGCCTGGAGGCTGGCAGCTCTGCCCAGCACCGTCCACGCCTCCCAGTAGGGAAGAATGAGAAAACCCAGTGTTGACGGAACCCAGTGCCTCCAGAGTGCGATTTTAGCCTACACCTCCCTGGCCCCTGGGCAGGGATGAGACCTGGCAACAAGTATTTTAGATTAAACTCTGAGAGATGAGTCTAGTTGAGGAAACTCTGCCTTGGGCTCAGGTTGAATAAAAGTCTCCAGGGCAGGGGCCTGGGAGTGGGCTGCATTCAGCCTTGAAATACCTCACTTTGGGCTCCGGTGGAAAACGTTTCTAGAAAAAGGACGGGATTCCCTGGGCCCTCTCGGCCACTTCCCACAAACTAGCTTGGAGAAAGAAAGAGACCGTGAAAGTAAAGAAGAAAAGTGTTAAGGGATTTTGGACAAATTTATATTTGTGCCTGCTATCCCATTAAATATTGATGTAAAATATTGTGACCTTCATTGACACGAAGAGCTGTTTGTAGATGCACAGCAAATGAAGGCGTGTTGAAAGAGCCCAAGTCTTGCTCAGTTTTTTTTTCCCTAGGATTATTGGGGGGCGGGGAAATGTCTCTGGAATATTTGGAATTTGGAAGGGACTATGGAGACGTATGAATCGAATCCTATCAATTAATTAACAAATAAGGAAATAGCTCTAAGAGGTTGCCTAAAGTAACACAGCTCATCTCAGGTCCAGGAGCCCATTGTTCTTGAGAACTTGGTTAATAAAACCAAGGTTTAGGCAGGACTTAGAGATGAAAAGGAATACTTACAAACTAGAAACACTTGTTATAGTGTTTAAATTCTCCTATTCCTCCCAGTTGGTTTGTGTGGATGTATATTTATAAAGACTAAATTGGGGGGAAGCAGACCTCATATTTATGTGGTGTAATATATATTTTACTGGTAAATTACTTATTGTAATTAAGAATGATTCATATTGCCCTGGCCAGTTTGGCTCAGCGGTTAGAGCGTCGGCCTGCAGTCCGGAGAGACCCGGGTTCGGTTCCCGCTAAGGGCACGTACTTCGGTTGCAGTTTGTCCCCGGCCCTGGTTGGTCGTGCGGGTGGCAGCCACTCGATGTGTCCCTTCACGTCGATGTTTCTCTCTCTCTCTCTTTCCTCTCTTCCCTCCCACTCTATCTGTAAAAAAAAAAAAAAAAAAAAAAAAGAAAAGAAAAAAAAAAGAATGATTCATATTAATTTGGGATAATTTATTGTGCCAGAAATTTAATTAGGACAACCACATGCTGGCAAAACAGTATAAGTTGGTTTTAATAATAAAACTTATAATATGCATCTTAACACAGCAAGGCAACTTGATGTTGAAAACACTACAAGAAAAAAAACCCTGATGTAGGAATTATTACTTGTGATATGTTTATATATAAATACACACACATGTTTTTAACTTGTAAGCCTAATTGAGGACAGAGTGACTTTTTATTTCTGTACTTCCCCATGCCTAGTTCTCTGACAGAAACATAAATATCTGGGAAATGAATTAGTGGGAAAAAAACACACAAGTCTATACTTTTAGAATTGTTGGATTTAAAAAGATATTCTAAATCAAGTCGAGGAGCAGCTAGTTTTATAAATGTGTGAGAGAAATTCACATGTATGAAACCTCAGTTTTCTTTTTGTGACTTCCTTTTATAACGGAAATAAATGAGTTGGAAGAGTTCAGAGTTTATGTACAATTTGAACAAAATTAAAAAGAATTAGAAAGAAGAGGGCAAGAAGTAGGGAGGAGAAAGTTTATATTTTTAAAAACTATGATGATGGATTTATTAAAGTTCCTGGATTATAATCTCCAAGGAAAGATACAGATTTTCCTTCTTTTCTGGGATATCCCCAGTATTAACTCCAGAGCTGTGTAAAGGTGCCCAGCACAATGCTAGTTGCAATGCAAGTCTGAGAGACTGTACAGGCGGTGATAACAGGGACCCTGTAGAGACCCCTTTGGTATTTGTGCTGGACCTTAAAGAGGCAAGCAAAGGTGCAATTACTAAGTAATCATGTACCCTTGGGGACAGAGTTTGTCCCAGAAAAATCATGAAGTAGGCAAATTCTCCTGGGCTTTGGTGAATTTTTTTTCTAAAGTTAAGGGGATTGGAATACAAGAAACCTAAGATGGCTTCACTTTTACATGCTATGATGTATACTTTTACATGCTATGATGTATGTACCTGTCTTACTATGATGATGATAGTGATGATGATATTCTTGGTTGACCAGAATCACCTTTTTATACTTCCCTTTCCCGTGTAGTCACCCACTGCAGTGTCTTCCTGTACTCTTCAAAAGCAAAAGCAAAATAAACTACCCTAGCCTTCACACAAGGAGGGCTAATTTGAGATCCTTACTTTAGAGACCAAGAACCTGGTGTTACTTTCCCAAAACTTAACAGAAGCTAACAGCCAGTGGGGGATAAGGGTTGGACCTCACTGGATCTGCATCACATAGAAGCAGGTACCTCTCACATCCAGTTAGGAAAGTGAATGTATTTTTAATCAATTGTGCTGACAGTAAGCCTTCTGTAAGAGACATTAGCCCTGGATTCTTTTTTCTTCTATGAAGTTGGAAAACAACCCCATCATTCATTAAGGGGGAGAGCCAAACTGAGTTAATCAGCCTCTGAGACCCATACTAATTGTTGATCAAGTAATGCCACAACATTCAATGAGTAAGGATCTCTAGCTGGTTACAGTTAAGAATCTTTTTAATATAGTTAATATTTCACAAAACCAAAGAGTTCAGTTATTGTAAAGCTCAAAGAGCTAGAAATCAGATCTACGATTTCAATTGAGTTCTGTCACTATCTACTTGATAAGGTAGACAAGCCACTTCTCTGGGTCCTAGGTCTCCACATTTGTAAGGTGAGGGAAGGAAACATGCCCTAACAATCATGCGGGGATCTAGGGAAAGAAAATGTTCTAAGAATTATGTGGGGTTTTTTTAAGTTACACAAATGAGGGATTTTGTCTCATGTATTTGAAGGTGGGTTACAATAGCTTCAAAAAAACAACTTATTGGAATAAATTGCACTAGGGAAGTAAAGGAGTTTGGAGGTATCACAAAAGCAGTGATGGGGTGTTTCAATGTAAGAATAGCCAAACAATAGGAAGACTGTGCTTTTAAACAGAACTTTGTCAGCTTTGCATCATTAAGACGAATTAGTCATAGTTCATGTATTGGATGGAAGGACTATTATTAAAAATCTTTCCAAAAGTGTGATACATGCCAAAACTGGAAAAAAAGAAAGAATTGCTGCTTTCTCGTTTGTGTTTATAGACTCATATTGCATTAATTCATCACCCCTGCCCTTCCATACATTTCTCGAATACAACAACAATAACAAAATACAAGGATGTGTCCAGTTTCACTACAGCTCCAAGCATTTACAAGTGTTGAGCGTCTGCTTTCGGAACGCCCTTCTGATTGGCTGAGCCAATGTCAGTGACATCAACCAACTTACTTTTGATTGGAAGGCTGGTTGCTGGGACTGTAGCGTTTGCAGGAAGTCACTTAACTGTTTGCGAGCTGGAAAACCGAACCAGAAGTTATCTTTTGTCGTAAGAAAGCGCAACCAACTAGGGAAGGTGTGCCCCGCAGCTCCGAAAGCTGGAACGGGAGCCAGGAGGCCTGGACCGGCTACCGGACCTAGAGGCACTCCAGAAGATGAGTGGCTGCTCCTTTCCAGCCTCCGGGCTGTTACCCTTTTAAATGTCAGCGTTCGTGGCCGTAGGGGTAGCACGAGGCATCGAAACGGAACGGTCGGATTGGCCGCACGCCTCAGCTCTAGACGCACCTCTCCACCAAAAAGGCCGTTCTGACTGGCAGGGGGAGAAAGTAAACAGAGTTGAATCACCCTCCCCACTGGCCAATTGGAGGGGGTTTAGATTGTGACGTGATGGGATTCTGCGAAATTGTTACTGAGCAAGAGAATGCCGGAACGGTGCGGACGGGCAAGAGCAGGGGCTCGGAGACCGTCAGTGGACTGGAGAAAAAGTGTCTCTTAGACGTGACGCCTGGTCCGACCCTTGTCACCCGCGTCGGGGTGGTCGGGTGAACGTCCTGGGTCTTTGGCTCCACGGAGAGGCGGCAGAGGGCGTGTACCTCTCTTGCAGTTTCCTCTCCCAGCACCTCGGGGGCGTATTCAGTCGAATAAACTTGCGACCGCCACGTGTGGCATCTTTCCAAGAAAGCCGGCTCGGAGCGGTGGGCGCGCCCGTCGGGGGGATCGCGCCGGGCGCAGGACACCGCGGCAGCAAGAGGCGGCAGCGCACGGAGCTCGGGACCGTGGTGGCTGCGTGCGGAGGCGCTGCCGGTTACGTAAAGATGAGGGGCTGAGGTCGCCTTGGCGCTCCTGCGAGTCGGAAGCGCCCCGCGCCCCCGCCCCCTTGGCCGCCGCGCCGCGTTCGTCGTCCGAGGCCAGGGCAGGGCGAACCGAACCTCCGCAGCCACCGCCAAGTTTGACCGCGCCGCCGGGGCTGCTGTCGCCCGCACCATGTCCGCGGCCGCCTACATGGACTTTGTGGCTGCCCAGTGTCTGGTTTCCATTTCGAACCGCGCTGCAGTGCCGGAGCATGGGGGCGCTCCCGACGCCGAGCGACTGCGACTACCTGAGCGCGAGGTGACCAAGGAGCACGGTGACCCGGGGGACACCTGGAAGGATTACTGCACACTGGTCACCATCGCCAAGAGCTTGTTGGACCTGAACAAGTACCGACCCATCCAGACCCCCTCGGTGTGTAGCGACAGTCTGGAGAGTCCGGATGAGGATATGGGATCCGACAGCGACGTGACCACCGAATCTGGGTCGAGTCCTTCCCACAGCCCGGAGGAGAGACAGGATCCTGGCAGCGCGCCCAGCCCGCTCTCCCTCCTCCACCCTGGAGTGGCTGCGAAGGGGAAACACGCCTCCGAAAAGAGGCACAAGTGCCCCTACAGTGGCTGTGGGAAAGTCTATGGAAAATCCTCCCATCTCAAAGCCCATTACAGAGTGCATACAGGTTAGCGGCGTCTCCCTCTCCCACCGACCTCTGGGGTTAGTTAACCTTTGGCCTGGCAGCGTTCCTGGGCGTTAAGGACACCACACTCAGCCCAAACGGTGCAAACATTTTGGATAAGATGCTTTTTAACTCTTTAAATAATTGAACCGTGTAGAGACGGAAAGCTCACTCTCCTTAATTGTCCCCAGCCTCTGGAAACCACGGAGAGGATTAAACTGGAGGACAGAGTGAGTGCTGCGTGCTAGCCCCTGTGCGTGGCTTCCTCTCCCCTGTCCCGCCCCGCCCCCAGGACTCCTGCACTGGGCGACATTGGGGCCACTTTACCTGGGCAGACGCTGGCAGGGTTGAGCGGGGGGTGGGGTGGGGTGGCGGGGGGTGGGGTGGGGTGGCGTGGGGGCGTGGAGTTAAATGGCGTACCTTTTATTTGATTCTCTTGTGGGATTGCGGAGAAGTGGTCAAAACCTGGGGAGAAGCGGCACACTTTATGTGGATGGAACCTTTTAAGGATGACTAAGGACTCATTTAGCTGTATGCTTGCTACTTTTCAGGGATTGCCAAGGTGGTTTTAAATTTGGCCAAGAGTCCCCTGAGAGGTTTAAAATAACATTGCTTCAGGCAGCAGATCAAGTGATGGTTGGTGGGTTAACTTCACGACTAGTTAGCCCCTTTAAAGAGGGAGATTTCAGAGCCGAGTATTTTTTCCACGTGACTAAGGCTTACCCTCCACCCTGAAAAGAGCAGTTAGGGAGGAGGAGGTGTGGTCCTTGCCGGAGGTCAAGGCTGGGTAATGACTGTTGAAACGTTCCGGAGGCCCCGAGGAATGATCTCTCCCTGGGAGAACAAAAGGCAGGGCTAACCAGAAGAATGTGGCTAGAAAGACATCTGTAGGATAAAATGGGCTTTGGAGACTTACTGGGAAGGTGGTCCACCAATTCTGTTGGTTCTGTTTAACATACTCAGAGAAAGTTGAAAAGCTCTGACACTTGGTCATGCTGCCTCACCATCTGTAGAAAGGTCCCTTTACTACACGGGGCTTGTTCTTCTCATGAAGCTCTGTTCCCCTCTGTCCTATGACACTGGGTCTGAAAGGTTGTTGGAGTTATTTGGAAAAGTATTGTCATTTTTGTGTAATTTTTAGCACTTTGAAGATGAGGCCCCCTGGGCCTGAGATTTTAAAATTATAATTGGTTGATTCTGTTTTGTTTTTTAAAAGAAAGGCCACGTAACTGCATCTCATATTTTATTTCCTTTGGAAAGTGCTTCTTGTGGAGGTGGCTGCTGGCACAGGAGTAAAACAATTTCCTCCGTGGTTAATGCAAAATCAGGTTCTGTTTGGGGTTGTCTTCTAGGTTACCATAAAACAGCATATTTTAAAGTTTCTATCTGTAAGGCTGTTGAGAGACACGTGCTTGAATTGGGGGATGTGACCTTTAGTGTGGCTTGCCAGGGGTGAAATAGGGGTGTATTAACCCGAGGGTGTTACTCATCAACAGCTGTTAGGCGGGCCTGGCTGTGTCAGCCATGTTCCCGGAGTTCAGTTGTTCACAGGGACACCCACTGCCACCTTGAGCAAAGGCACTTTCTCCTTCAGGGAGCTGCCCAGTTGTGCACTTGAGGAGGCCTGCAGTGCTGGGTGAGCTACCTGAGTCTACCCAACACAGAAAAACAATTCCCAACATTCCAGACCATTCAGCTGAGTGGTTTTTCTCAGGCATTTCTAGAAATGGCTGCTTATGTGTGCGTGCATGCGTGGTGCTCCTTAATTCTCCATAAGGCAAGTCAGCTCGGCTGTTTCAGGAGAACCTTTCACATAGTCAGGAGTGGAAAACGAAGTGAAATGTTAATCCCATTTTAAATGCTACAGTCAGTCTTTTGAAACTAGCGATATGGTGATTGCAGGTGTCTTATTTATGTTCTGGGGCACTGTAATACTAGGACATGGTTGAACAAAACCCCAGCCTCGGTAAATATGGTCAGAAGGGTACTCTTGTGGGAGGTTGTGAGCATTCGAAAGTTTCAGAGACAGTTTCCAGTTAGATAATCTTTGGAGTGGGGTAAGGAGCTCCCTGATTTTCCTCTTGCTGGTATTAAATCCAGAAGGTGGTTAGACCAGAGAGAGCAGTTGGAATGTCTGCATTCTATGAAGATTTTAAGAGCTAAAAATGTAGTCACACCCCCTGCTCCATGTGGCCCAACAAGAATCCCTCTGGCCCAACAAGAATCCCTAACCACCTCGAGACCCTCCTACCGCTGCCACTTCTATAGAACCAGTGGCTTTAGAAGTTGAATCATTTAAACAAAATTGCATTTAATTCAGTACAGCTATTTTTATAGTGTTCTAAGAGAAGAGATGCTTTTGAGGCGGGCTAAGCTGGGCTCTGATTTGTCCTACTGTTGCCCAGTTGTGAGACCTTCAGCAAGTTACTTGATTTGAGTTTGCAAGGCCTGCTGCTGAATTTGCCTTGCACATCTGTTTGGGTTGGCAGACACATGGTTTAAAAACTTAATTGGTTACCAATATCTAATAATCAGAGGATTTCGGCACAAATCCAGATTTCTGCCTTCTCTGGAAAAATCGAACGATCTTACAAATAAATACTGGGCCTGAATTCCTGCTTAGCAACAATTGGCTTGAACTGATCTTTCTTTACATGGGACAATAACCCTTATTTTAACCATTTACATTGGCACTGTTGGCATTTAAGTTTGCAGCCTCTGCTTTATTTGAGCCTCAGTCTCTCATTCCACAAAATAGGGTAATGTCACTAACTAAAAGGTTCTTGTGCAAAGATAGGAATATCTATAAAGCACTTACTAGGATTCCACACACAGTAGCCCCGTAAGAAATGCTGGACCTTATAGTTTGTGTGATAGGGGGTCTTCAAAACTAATAAACATAGGATAAAGTTATTTTTAAGTTGTACATTGGTTTACATTTTCTAATACTATGCTCAGTTTGTTTTTCTGCGGCCTCTAGATCAGATATCTTCTCGGGTGATGTACCTCTAAAGTTTAAGCAGTGGATCAATCTGAAAAAGTACAACAAATACACTCTTTTCTGTTGCCAGACATTTTGGATACTATAATGTTTCATATTAACAAGTAGACACATTAGAGTACTTGGCCTGAAAACATATCGAGCATATTATCTAAAAAGGCAACCAATTTTAAGTTTATTCTGGCACACCACCACAGACCCACAACCACCTCACTGCCTCCACCTCTGCATGCACACACGCACTTACTCCACAGTCCCCTGATGGCCCCCACATCCACACCCACGTCCCAGCATACACCCTAAACTAGCCTCCACGAATAGCCACTCAAACCCTCTCACTCCCCAGACCTCCTCCTCTACCTGCAACCCCTCAACCCACCCCAGCCCCACAAGCACTCAGAAAGAGTTTCTCAAACCCTGGCCAATGGCTCAGTTCACTGGAGTATTAAAGTTGTGGGTTCAATTCCCCATCAGGGTACATGCCTAGCTTGCAGGTTCTCTCTCGCTCTCTCTTCCCCTCTCTCTCTAAATCAGATTTTAAAAAAACAAAAACATATCCTTGGGTGAGGATTGAAAAAAAAAAGTTTATCCGGAGTTTCCTGACATTGCGGTCACCCTGTACAGATTGTATATGCCTGTTGGGGGTGGGCAGTATCACTGGGGGAAGGAAACAGCTACGTTCAAATTCCAGATCAAAAGTCACCATAACTGCCTGAGGTGTGGCTAGTCCCACTAGGTTAACATCTCAGTAATAGAAACCTTGTCTGGCCGGTGTGGCTCAGTGGTTGAGTGTCAACCCATGCTCAGCTAGTGGACCTGATCCCCAGTGAGGGGCGTGCAGGAGGCGGCCATTCAGTGTTCTCTCTCGTCATCGTTTCTATCTCTCTCTTCCTCTCACTTCCTCTCTGTGTAAAATCAATAAAGGGGAAAAAAATTGTAGAAACCTTAGGCTTTTATTTCCATGCCAGGTACAATTTTACTCTCTTTGGAGGTACTTAAGTCAGTTGTCCTCAAATGATGACAATAGGTTGAACTTGATAACACTGTTTACAGAATTCTGAAAATTAGCCCGAAATCCCAGCCATCATACTCCAGTTCTATAGAAAAACAATTTTTTACCACCACCACCAAAAAAATATATTTGTTTATTTATTTTGGTTAATTATTACCCGAGGATATTTTTCCATTGATTTTTAGAGAAAGTGGAAAGGAGAGAGGGAGGGAAAGAGAGAGAGAAACATCGATGAGAGAGACACATCGATTCGTTGCCTCCCACATGACCTCAACCTGATCTGGGGAACAAACCTGCAACCCAGGTATGTACCCTTGACCAGGAATCGAACCTGCAACCTTTTGGTCCGAGGGCCAGGGCTCTAACTGCTGAGCCACACTGGCCAGGGCTAGAAAAAAAACATTTTTTTAGCAGTTTTTTTTTTTTTTTTTTTTAATAGGGCAGAAGGAAGTTTATATAAAACAGAGAGACAAGAGCTGCAAACACCACAAGAGTGGCTACTTCTGTTTCTCCTTGTCCAGTTTGAACATTTCCCTGTAATACTTAGACTGTTGGCTAGGGGGACCTGGATGGCCCCCCACTGTGGAAGTTGTCTTCCAATATGGGAAATCGATTTTCTGGCCTCCCTAGGAATGCCCAACTCTCCTGGGGATGTCCAATATCCGGGTGGGGTATTCTTCCCTGAGATTAAAGTTTTACAGTTTTGCTTATGTATGCCAGGCTTGCTATATGCCTGTACTCTTCTCCCTCAATTACTGCAAGAAACTTGAGAATCAACTGGTTCAGGAGAATCTAGTGCTATCAAAAGTGTGAGAAGGACCTATTTCCATTGCCCAGGACAGGCAGGGGTTCGGGGACAGGGCAAGGTCTCGCTTTGGCCACAGCCCTAGGCTAGGAGCCTTAGCTCAGAAGTGGGTTACAGGCAGCCCATTAACTAGCCCCTGCCCGGTCTTTACCACCTTCTCTTCTGTTCCTGAGTAGAGACATTCT